CAGTCGTGCCTTATCTCGTTGCCATTGGCAATGTCTGTCTGATGTGATAATCCGCAGGAATTAATAAATAAACCATTAACAAATAAACTAGAGTTAAGCCCATGCATTGCATTGAGGGAGGGGAGGGGGTGGTGGTGGTTCGGCTGGGTGGCTGGGCGGTGGGTTAATGTACGTGCCGCAGGGAAACCCTTATCAAGGACTCACCAACAGTCAGGCAGGTCCAACCCCGACTTGACTTTCTGCAAGCATCAGCAAACAAAAGAGGAAGGTCCTTTGCAACACCTCACTCTTTATATTTTCCCTTGGACAGTGGCAGAAAAACCTATAAAATCCGTAAAAATTGGAATCTAATATTTCTTACAAATAATTTTAATTTATAAATTAGATTTTACATTTCATACAAATTTTTTTGATTTATTGATTAGCTTTTTTCCCAGAAACATTTGTAAAATATTTCTTAAAAAAATACAGAGACTTTGTATTTATATCCCCAACCAAAGGTCAGTCCGTTGGCAATAAATTTACTTCGAAGGCGTGCCCTCAGGATAAAAAGGACTACTAAATGCAAATGGCATTTGTGCGTGTGTCGGCGTGTGTCGCCTGAAATTTCAGTCAATTAAATGAAAATAAATGAATAATTGATAGTTTTCATGGCTCTCCTCGAACTCCACCTTGAACTAAACCTTGGCCAAATGTAATTAGGGGAAGAGCACAGGCACAAAAGGCACAGGCATAGTCTGTGGAAGAATGTCATTTGAATAATTTAAACTGTTAGACGCGTTCGGCGTTCGATTGCCAGACACACAGGACATCGGGGACACAGTGGGTTGTGGGCGGTTTTTCTGTGGAATGGGCGTGGCACATGCTGCTCCTGACCGGAGCCACAATGACGTTAATGACAGTGACGAGCGGTTGTTTGCCTCAGTTCTCGACCAAACATTCAGCGCAAACAAACAAACAAACAAATGCACGCACGTACTCCCAGCGACACACACTCGCACTCACACTCACTCATAAAAAACAATCAAAATGCAAAACGGAACCAGGCAGACGACACTCCATGGGGAAACTGTCCGTGTGTGTGTCTACACTGGGAGAAATATTTCGAATATCTTCTAGAAACTTAAAAAAAATCTTATTAGAAACTTGGGGATATACAAGAACGAAACTTTTGTATTTATAATACAATTTCGAGAGGCTGTACTTAGAATCACATCTTAATTATACGAATTCTTTATATTTGGACTTAATATCATAATCAACAGAAAATGATTTTTTAAATATATAGATTAAATATAGATTAATTTAATAGACTGCTAAAAATATTTCATTTAAATAAGAAGCTTCTAGCTCAAGGGTATCCACCTCAGTGGCCTTTTTTCTCAGTGCACGTGCGTGAGCCTTGCACCAGGAGGATCAACGACAAACACAAATGGCTCCTGATTGCAGGCAGGAAGCAACAGCTACGGGGATACGGCGCGTTGCCTCTCCTTCTGTCTGGCTATGCGACTAGAATTCAACATTTTGCCGCCATTAAAATCAAATTGCACTTTCGTGCAGCACAGACCAGGATACTAAGCCAGAAACCAGGGGGTGGAATGGGGTGGCCAGCCGGCAGGCGGAGGTCACGAGCCGCGCCAACGTTTTTGGCAATTTCGGCAAAATATATTTCTCTCGTACTTCTGTCGCTCCGCTTTTTTTATGATTAATAAAAGCAAATGTAAATAGTCGCAAATAAAAGGCGGCTAAACGAAATGAAAGCAAGCGTTGCACAGGCGACCTTCAGGGGGGTGGTGCAAGCGTTGCACAGGCGACCTTCAGGGGGGTGGTGCAGGTGGTTGCAGTGGGTGGGTGGTTGGGAAAGCCAGAGACCACTTCCCTTCCCCCTTGACCTTCCCCGACCCACAAACTTTCGCTTAATTTCTATTAGCATTGCTGTCGCTTCGTTTTCATTGCTGCGGCACGCTCCGCAGGTTGCTGAGGTTACCCAAGGGTTGGATGGAGTTGCAAAAGTTGCTGCAGGGGTGAAAAAGCGAGGGGAGGGGATGAAGGCTGGTGGATCGCTGAGGGAATGCAACTGTCTGCCCGGCTTGATTGTTTGTATTTCTCATGGCACTCGATGTCAGTCAAAATCGCTTCGTTTTCACCCTCTCCCAAAAACTCAAACAGTCCAACTTCAATAACTCGAACCACCAGATGTCACACGACTATGTTTATTTATATATATGTGATTCTTTTTAAAACGGGTTTTGAGTTTTATGAAATGAAAATAAATCTTGGGAATAAAATATTTACTATACGAACTCAAGAAAGGGGAATGTTAAAAGCATGAAACAGAGATTTTAAAAATATACAATATTCTTTAGCATTCATTTATTTGACCGTTTAAAAGAGTTGTTCCATTTAGAATTTAATTCTAAATTAGAGATTTTTTTGGTATAAGTATTCCACATAAAATGTCATTCCAAATTAGAGCTTATTTTAGAAATGAAGTTCAACAGACGTCCTAATGCTCACAAAGAAAAGTCTGTGAAGTTTGGCTATTAAACGCGATTGCCACACAATTTTGTCAGAGAATTCCAGTTAGGGAACTTTGACTGTAAACCCCCGAAAAGTATGCACCACCCACCGGGCAGTGAAGCCACCCACTTTGTACTGTTGTTTGTTTTACAACGTTTTTAACTTGTTTGCAGGGATTAGGTAAGCAACTCAAACAAGAACGAGTGCTCAGGACCAGCGTCGCAATGCAAGCCTCATAAAAATAGACAAAGACAGGGCCTGCCAATTTTCAGCGGGAAAATAAATGCTGGGGGAAAACTTGGGGGATTTCCCCATCACCAAGCGGTTGCCATAGACTGATTTCCATTCAGCAACCGTTGCCAACATTAAATGCATCGAATTACATTTTCTATTAAGCAACTTTAAGAGGGGGTTTGTTTGGGATCGTGTGGCTACTTTGTGTGCGGGGCAAAAAAAGAGGAAAAGGGGGTGGGCTTGGGGGGTTTATAAGGGGGTTACAGGGGGTTGTACCAGCCCTGAGCGAATGTTGCTCGTTTGTTTGCTGCTTGTTTTACAATTCGCTTTTTTAACGCTTTCGCGCTGTGATTCCTTCGTCCTGCCAGCGGGTCCCTGACATTGTTGTGCGGCGCCTTGAACCTTTTGCAGTTCTTGGTCCTTAGACCACCCCCCTGATAACCCGTCCTGATTGCACAAGTTTTTGTACTGCGCTTTGGCTAAGAAGCCGCTGGCTGCACGCCGTTTAGACCTGCTTCGCCTCATTCTCCTTCTCCGCCTTTCTGGCTTTAAGTTATGAAAACTTTTGTCGTTGTTTTTCCTGCCCGCCTTTTCTTTCCTGGCTCCCTTCCTTTTCCCCTGAGGTTTTTCCACGTATTTGGTTCCTCTTTAAGCGCACATTAATCAAAGTTTTTCGTTGGGCTTAGCCGAAGTTTGGGGGCATTTATAAGGCAATTGTGGAGCTCGTTTTGTTGGCCGCGACAGGTGTGTGGGTGCCGGAGCCCCAGCCGGCTTCTTGGCCCGTTTCTTTGAGGGCTGCATTGGACATTGAAGCCATATGGCATCCGGGCTAAACATTCCGGAGCAAGCTGGGAAAAACGCAGGATCTGAAAGGAAAGCTAAAGGAAATACTGGCAGTTTTTTATGATATGAGATATATGATAATGAAATGATAAATTTTATAATGACTCAAGCTATTATAATAGATTATTTTGAATAACTCTATTTCTATTTATGTATTGTGAGACAGTAATTTATTATCAGACTTGGGACTAAGAAATTGTTCTTCCAAATTAACTGTAATAGACAAATGAACTTGTACTTTATATTTTTGATAAAAAAAAAAATAATTATGGCTAAGAAACCGACTAAACAAAGTTATCTTTATTATTTTATCTTCAATATTTGTTCAGCATTTAATCCCATTCTTTTGCCTCAGTGCAGGTGGCCTAACCTGTCAAACAAAGGTCTCCAAAAATTCTTGAAAACTTTCCCGTTCCCCCCGAACTGACCAGACTTGTGGTTACCAACTCTTCCTCCTGCTGGTAACTCCACTTTATGTTCTCGGCCAGAGTTCCCAAGTCAAATAGCGGGGACAGCTGAAAACTAAGCTGCAAGACATTCGAAAGAGCCGACTGTCTGAAGGTTACCGCACACTCACACAATGCCTAATTGTCTTTGGGCTCGACTCTGTCTGGCCGTCGGCCCCCTACGCTCCCTCCCCCTTTACCGCCCCCTGAGGGCCTGTCTGAGTGACTTATGTCTGGCTTTAGAGAACTTTTTGCAGCATACAATGTTACATTGCAAATTGAAACACGCGACGCTGCGCGATGCGGAGCATTGGAAAAAAAGAGGAGAATTTCCCAGACACACACACACATAACTACAGCCATATGCATAAATAATAATGCCGGAGCGTACTTAAAGTGCAGGCGTCTGCTAGGCTCAAAGCCCCGATTCTCTGCCTTACTACGGGAATATTCCCATTCTGCTCCATCCGAAAACCCTTCACTCGTCTAGCCGTCTGCTCTCGCTTTGGGCTGTCCGGTTTTTCCAGGAGTTGGGCGGTTGGGTGGTGGGTGGCTGGGCTGGGATCTGTATGCACTTCAGCTCGAAAGTGTCTGCTGCATTTACCCTTGAAAACGTGGCCGCTGCAACAGACTCCGTTGCACATTGCCCGTTGCAAATGAGTTCAATACACTTGGCATAAACACAAACATTACTGGGAAATCCACTCATCGCGCGAAGGGACATTTTCCACTGCGCCGGCGTCGTTTTCCCAACTAATAATGCTCTCGAACCTTTCCGCTCTTTCAGGTTTTCACGAACTTCGGGCCGAACACTCGCGAAGCCAAAGCCAGAACGAGTGTGTTTATTTAACACACTTCCTCGTTGCGAAAGCCCTCAGTTCGTGTCTGATGCTCGCGAAGTGCGCGCCACAGTGAAGAGGGAAAGCGGAAACGGAAGCGAGTACGAAAGCGGAAACCGGAAACGAGGGAACATGTGTGTGTGACGGGACGATCGCTGCTCCCCAAAACAACGAGATCAATGCCAGCTAAAAGATTGCTCAATCAGTGAACTTGGTGACTTGGTGAACCGCGAAAGTCAGTGACTAAAACTGCGCCATAAAATAGGAAAAGAAAATACTTTATCGCGAAGGCAGGCAGCATGTGTGCCACGGGGAATCCCCACCACAGGCTCGGCAGCCTCAGTGCCCTGCTCCTTCTCCTCCTCGTCGCCCAAACAATCCACGTGGAATACGCCCGGGCGGATTATGAGAACACCTGGAATTTATATTACGAGCCGCCCTGCTGCACAGGCTCGGCAGCTGGCCATCATCTGCGCCACCACAAAGGTAAGTCCCTCCAGTTAGTCAGAGCCCCAAGCATTTCATCCCGCCGTCGCAGTCAAGGTAAGTGAGTGGCCAAGGAGTCCCGACTAATTTGCGGCCGGATTAGGGTGGCTTTATATGGCAACTAAATTCAGTTTGTTTACTTTGCTGCACTGAGAGATAAACATAAGAGATTTGAGGCATTTCTTTAAAAATTCAGTTTGCTAAGGCCAATAAACATGAGGATTTTAGACAAATGCTTATTTATTTGTTTCTTTAATAACTCAGTTCTTTCAATCACAGTTTTATAACCTAATTTAAGGTTTCTAATCATTTGTCATAAACATTCTTCAATATTTTAGAAAAACGTATTTATTGTTTTATAAACGCACTCAAAATAAAATAAATATTCTCTTATTCAAAAAAAATGTTATTCAATTTGTTGTTTGTATACTTTATTTATAAGAAGATTCTTTTCTTAGAATTCCGATAGTCAGTTTTTCATGTTTGCACCAAATATTTCGTTTATGTTTGAAATTCCAATTGGTTTTAATTCCTGGAAATACTTGCACTTTTACTAAGCACAAGTGAATTTTTTGTAAAGATATTATATTTGAATCGAATTTTTAAAGAATTGCCTTTAAAAACTTGAAATAAGATATTTGTTGTAGTGCCCTTGCTTGGGGAGATGCGAAATTCAAATAGAATGGCTTAAACGTTTTCCCCACTTTGTTCGGCCTCGAATTCCCGGCCAGCTAAGCTCCGGCATACAAAACTATTCACAACAATGGAGGCTGGGGATCGAAGTTTGGGAAATAAGTCAACAGCTTACATAGCCGCGAATGCCGAGAAGCCGAAATAGATTGTGTGAGTGTGTGTGTTTTTGGGGGGTTTCCCTTTTTATGGCCAAAAGGAATAATTTTCACTTTAAGCGGATTTGCCGCCCACGTCTCCTTTTCGCTCTCATTCCCTTTCCCCTCTTCTTGATTTGCCATTTCGGTCCACTTCCGTCGGCGACGTCTGTTATCCTTTTTCACCCGGCTCTCTGGCCATTTGGCACCCAGAACTCGTTCGCATTGCTATTGTTTTGCCATTGTTTTATTTCATCGGCAAGACATTTCTCTTCCGCATTGTGTGAAGTCGATAGGGTGGTTCGAGGGGAGGTTCTCGGGGGAGCAGAGGTTCGAGACTTATAGACTCATTCGCGCGCAGCAGCCTGTGCTTCCTTGTACTTTACTTTTCCGCCAGTGCTCGAGTGAAATTAAAAACTTTTGCCCGGCTGCACGGTCTTCGTTTTGTTGTTTGTTCAATGGCAGGACCCCTCACCGCCCCTCCCCCTTTTTCAGCCCCCTTCCCAGCCCCTTTCCAACTTGACCGTCACTTCCGCCACTTAAGATGTGTTTTATTTTACCCGAGATCTCCCTTTTTCCCACTTTTTTTTTTGCGCCCCAACTATTAGTGTTTAATTAGTTTTCAAGTGGACTTTTTATGGACCGAAAGCCGAGCTTAGCCCAACACAGATTCTCGTTTAACTGAGCTGTCGCTGAATAATTAAAACTCATTTCGCATATCGGATGAATGTGAGTAAGTAATCCGCTTTAACCAAAGCAAAACTTTTTAATGCTCATCGGAAATTATGACTACTATCACGGGGCTATTATGTGTGAAAATCCGCCTTTGTTAAGCATTTTTATTTACATAAACAATTTGGGTTTACGCAGAAGATTCGCCTCTTTACAATTACTGCAATCTGGGGAGGGATTCGCCAGCCGCAGAAATGTAAACAGAAACGAGTTTTAAACGCTCAAACTTTTCCGGCGACCCGAAAAAGGGAAAGAAGGATATTTTCAACTTCATAAAGGTTTTGCGAGACGACAAAGTAAGCAACAAAAAACGAAGAAATAAGGGAAAACGGGAAGGAAAGTACGAGGCGAAAAGCGTTGGGATAGCATATCAGATGTTTGCGTTGTTAATTAAAGAAAAACAAGCAAAAGTTTAATGGCGAATATTAGCGCTCCCCCGCTGGAATGACCCCCAGAAAAGCGGGAAAGCAGCAACCTCAATATCCACCTGGCTTTGGACCAAAGTTGCGGACATTGCGTAAATAGAAACAGCGCAAAAAAGGGGTGCAAAGGCTCAAACGGAAAAAAGAACACAAAAAACTTGGCTCCTTATTTCCCTCACGCACGCAAAGCCAAAAAAAAAAACGGAAAAGCGGGAAAACAGGAAAATGGCCGGGGGAGCCGTAAAGCAGGAAAATGAAAACTGCTCACAAATGTTCATTCCTCTCGTAAACTTAAAGAATTTCGAGCATTTAGCGCTGGCAGCCAACAAAAGTTTGTTGTTTCACCCTGTTTTCCTTTTTTTTTTTGGCCGAAAACGAGAAAACTTTTACGTTCGACCAGCAGGTGGAAGTTCTGTGAGCTGTGGGCAGCCATCGTCGGCTAAATTAGCCAGCCCAGCAAATCAGCAATTAAGCAGCAATTTTCAGCTGTAAGCGCCAAGTAAGTTTTCGGCAGGATTTCAGGATTTCTTGCCAGCCAGTTCATAAGTCCATCAGCCATTTCAGTGCACAATTGAAGTCATGTCAGAGGTACAATTGTTTCAAACACACACGCAGGCACCAACAGGGCGTATACGCAATGCGGGGGATGATTGCCGGGGGCCTGAAATTTAAGAAAATCAATACTCGACTGCGCTCCCTTTCATGTGTGTGTGCTTCCGCCATAAATAGCAGGCCGAACAGATTCACCTGTGTTCGAGGGGCTTTTGGGCCAAATCCAAAGCCAAAGCCGACTAGGCCGTAATTTACAATCGCATTGACCTGGTTTCTGGCCTGCGGATTCATTAGCCAACTGTAACTGCAACTCTAAGTGCCATAATTCAGCTCGCCTCGCCGCAAGTACAAATGCTTGTTTGACACACAGAGAGTGTGCAATTTATCTTAATGGAAAAGGCAGAGGCGTAGCGCCGGCGACCTTCACAGGGATCGCAAGGATACAAAATTACAAGGATGCGAAGATACCAAGATATAAATACATCTTACACCCACACACGAGAGCTGCGGTTTCGTGTGGCCCACAAACAAAAGCCAGAGCTTTGTGTATGTATTGACACCTCCTACGAGGATACGGGAGGATACAAGAGGATACAAGAGGAGCCAAGGATGCGCCTCTTGGAGGACTTTTCCGGCCAGCCATCCTCACGTTTCAAAGCCACTCGCATTTCGGCTCAAGTTAATGACGACAAATTAATTAAGCCAGAAATGTCTGCGCCACTAAATTTGATTATAAAAGTTTACGTTTTCCATTCCAATTTCCCTCCGACTCTGAGTGAGTGTGTGTGTGGGGTTTGCCATAAATTCGTTAACATAATGATGCCATACTTGTACACATTAACATCCCAAAAGGAACCAACAAAAAATTAATAGAGGGTGGCATTAAAACTTTGGTCTTTCAACATTTCCTTGGGACCGTTCGAATGACAATGGCAACTTGTTTATAGTTTTGGCTTAACAACTTACGGCAAGCCTATTAAAATTAATTCATTTTATGTTAATGCCGAGTTTATTCAATTTATTTAAAACACATGTCGCTTGATTTAATTAACTTTACATGACCGTTGCGGCTTTTGTTGCAGGAAGCAGCAGCAGCACGCATGTTGCTCCCGTGGCCATTGGTGTTGCTGCTGCAGCTGCAACTTCTGCTGCTGCTGCTGCTGACACATGATGGCGAAAACCCGATGGCCATAACACCCGACCTGACAATATTGCGCCGCTTTTGTTGTCAGGCGTGTGTTTTTAATTAAACACTTTAAACAGTAAAACAAGCGAGGACAAAGCTTAAGGGGCCTATAATTAATAAGGCTTTAAAGAAAGAAACATAATATGATTTTCATAAATTGTAGTGACGAAACAAATATATAAATTCACACAAATATCGTTCGAGTTGTGATAATTTCACCTGTTTTAATATTACAATTTTACTGTAATTAATGAGGCACCATTATAATATTGCCTTTTGATAAATAAAATGGAATCTCTGCCCGAGATTTCAGGGATTCATGCATCCAGAGTACAGATTAATTTCTCAAAATAATTACAATGCGTCTTGGCCTGGAAAGCGCTGAGGTTAGTTATGGCCATTACAAACACACTCGAAACTTTAGCCCCTGCCAGGATATTATAAACATATATAATCATTAAAAGGAGACATAAATGGCAAACTTTGATCTTCAGGCAGAGCACTCAAGGTTCCGCTACACACACAGACACCTCTAGCTGCACTTACTTACACTCGAATTCAATTATCTGCTCCGATGTATTTAGACACACCAACCACAAGGATAACAAAAGAGGCAGAAGGCATATATGGAATTCTAGAAACAATATGAACAACCGAAATATGTTCATTCATTAACAGAGAGAAAGAGGGGATGATGGTCTGTGGCCGTCAGAAATAATTCGTAGTGAAATATATTAAAGTTATGGCCTGACCCCCAGCACATGTGTTGGTGGTGGGTTCGACTTCCCCCTTTTCTGTTTTCTGGGGAATTTATATATGGAATAGCGTGAAATTGGGGGGAGTACCCGTCGCACGAGTTCGTTTGTGCTGGCTTTTCAGAGTGGACACCGAACTATTTTGACCGAAAGCATAAGGCTGAAAAAGTTCGGGGGGAGTGGAGCTTCCCGGGGGTTGCTGGCCAGCATATTGCAAAAGTTAAATTGGTTTATTGTCCATTTTTATGACACAGAAAAAACTTTGTGCCATGCCAAATAATTGCATTAAGTGCAGCCCGTCTCCCTTTTTGGGACTCGAGTTGCATAGGAATTGCCCGATTTAAATGGATGTATCGCAGCTTTTTTGCATGATTTCATTCCGGAATGGAATCCATACAGAATGTCGGGGAGGGCAGCAAAATTAACACATCATTTAATCGACGGACAATGGAAAGCGATAACAAAGCAATCAGACGGATAAAGTTCAGAGAAGGGGAGGTGGAAAACCCATTTCTAATTAATGCTC